AATGTAAGATGATGCTGCAGGATTGGACTTCATCGACCCCTAGATTAGAAATAGGAAGTGAAGTGGTAGAACACGTTGACCGCTTCACTTACTTGGGAAGTACCATCAGCCCCAACGGGTTGATCTCTGACGAAATTTCAGCACGAATACAGAGGGCTAGTTTCGCATATGCCAGTTTACGCCATCTCTGGCGTAGACGCGATATCCGACTATCGACCAAAGGGCGTGTGTACTGCTCAACAGTCCGCTCCGTCCTCCTTTATGGCTGTGAGACCTGGCCATTGAGAGCAGAAGACATGAAAAGATTAGCTGTCTTCGATCATAGATGTCTGTGTTCTATCTCCCGCGTGAAGTGGTATAATAAGGTGAGCAATATTGAGGTTAGGCATCGGTCGAGTGCTAGGTAAGGAGGGGAAATCAATCGACGAGACTGTGAAATTACTTCGACTGAGATGGTTAGGACATGTGCTACGTATGCCTAGTCATCGCCTTCCTCGACGGGCAATGTTAGCTGATATAGGGCCAGGCTGGAAAAGAGCTAGCGGCGGTCAAACCAAAACATGGCACCAATCAATGAAATCCACAACAGTTAATCTAAGCCACGTAGGAAGATGTAGACTTCCTGGTTGGGGCCCTCGGGATGGTAAAAACCAATGGTTGGAAACAATTGGTGACATGGCTCAAAATCGTTCTCAGTGGCGCAGATGCATCCACTCCTTGTGACTTATGATTTCCAATTAAACTTTTGTTCTCCGTTATTACTATTCCTTTGTCTCACACCACTGTTTACTGTCTATATTATGCATTTCTTCTACTTCCTTCTCTTGCTTTGCGTGCTACATAGATTCTGGCGACTTGAACTGCCGCACATATGTGCAAAGTTCTATGTCGAAAACCGACCGACCGACCGAGTCGAGTAACTGCCGTGCACACCACATCTGCTGGCTTCGTTAACAGCTAGCTAGAATAGACAACTTGACTCGTTAGTGTTCAGCAACCAATTCACACATACATATATAAAAATATATACTACACTGTTTGGAGAATTTATATGCGTAACTGGTTCAGTGGAATGCTAAGAATATCCAATTACCTGCTGCTATGGTATCCTTCAAACAATGTTGTAAATGTTAAGTGGGAAAGGCAAAAAAAAGATGTGACAAAGAAAAGAAACACCTCTAAATACGCACATTATCATCTTTTTACGCTTTTGTGTTATTTCCAGCAAAAAAAAGAATTTCCTCATGAATAATTTATGTACATATCCTTCTTTTTTGTGTACATTAAATCTATTTAAGTAGTATTTTTAGTATAAGTAGTATAGTGATTGTAATTAGTTTTTTGTACGTCTTTATATAATGTTAAAAAACTAAGACATTGTCGCAGTTTTTAATTATCGCTAATTTTGTAGTAATTAATAGATTGAGGTACTTTCTGTTAAAGTAATTACATATGTTCAACCTTATTAAGATGGTATATGAAAAATATAGAACAGGTTTTCAGTTGGTTCATCGCTCAAACTCCTCGTTGCTTTTGTTTTCCCGGTGGCAGGGAATCTTATCTTCAGTATGCATCGAAGTAGGGTAGCCATTGACAAAAGTTTTCAACACCTTGTTGGAGGAGATGCTTTGGGCGACGTGAACGCCATGTTTCTGAGCTATGCAGAAACACTGCCTTGATATCAGTGTTAAGCAGAATTCGGATTTTGTTGTGTTTTTTTCAAAGTAATTAAGGTCCGCGTCGCCTTTTGACATCTGAACTAGCGAAGAAAAACATTTTCTTTTCGACGATTCATTTTCATGAGCCACTGTAGAATCAATCGTAATTATATTTAACAAAGAAATCTTTAGACCAATCAGATACTGGTAAACTTTGTCCTCGAAAAATGTATTATGTAATGTGTAAGGTGTAACCTAGACGGGCTGACTAATTGTAAGTTAGAAAAGAGGCAGAAGTTGGCATGATGTAATAAGTGTGAGATAATGACTAATCAGTAAGCTCGTGTAGAATGGACAAGAACTAGTGGAAAGGCGATAAAGTGTTTTTATATAAAATCTGTATGAAAAAGCAATGTTATTAATAAACAGTACTAGAGTGGTAATTAATTTGGATGATGGAAATAACAGTGATAATGAAATAACGGTAATAATAATAATAATAATAATAATAATAATAACATTAGTAAAATTACATAGTGAAAGGGAGAAGCAAAATTATAGTGAGAACTTCACTCTTGCCATGGTAAGGCGAGTGAATGTATGTAGTGCTTTTGAATGCAGAGGTCAGGTTTCAGATCCCGAATTATACATTTAATCCAACAGTTGTGCAACAATGCCACATGCCAAGTAATCCACAACGGGAAACTCACGGAACCCTTCAAAGTGAAGACGGGAGTAAAACAAGGCTGGCTGGCTGCCTACTATCTCCAATAATTTTCCTGATTGCGGTAGACTAGATAATGCGACAGACAGCGGCGGTAAACGAGGAAATAGACATAAAATGGTCCCATACAAAACAAACTTGGAGGATCTGGATTTCGCCGATTATAAATGTCTGATTTCCCACAAACTGGAAGATATGCAAGTGAAAGGCAACAAGTTGACGATAGAAGAAGCATCCAGCGAAGATAGGTTTTCAGGTGAAGGTAAAGAAAACAGATGTGGTGATGAAGATTCCTGGCCAAAAGCAGCAACAACAATCAGTCAGCATAAATGGGAGAAATCTGAAAGAAGCAACCTCATTCACCTAAGCAAGTCAAGCAAGCTTTCATTACTCTCAAGTATGTGTGGAGGAGATCAGCAGCTCTCAGCATAAAAATGAAAATAAGATCCTGATTTTCAACTCCAATGTGAAGTCAGTGATACTCACTTTACGGATCAGAGACTTGTCGCCGCGTCATGAAGGCCACTTCGAACAAACTGCAGACCTTCATCAACAGCTGTCTTCACTCAATACTACTCAAGATGAGATGGCCGGTCAGAAAAGATCAGCAACAGGGAGGGGCATCTGGCAATGAACGAACCGACCTAGCAGGGTGGGGTGACATGGAGGAGGTCATGTGAACCAGAGATGAAAGCATGTCGGCAGACGTGGAGACAGGTGGAAACGTTGGCGGAGAACGGAACGCAATGGAAACGTGCGGCTGAAGCCCTTTGTTTCTCTAGAAACTAAAGGAAATAATAATAATATAATAATAACCTCGCCTAGATTACTAGTTTATGAGTTTACTACTCGGTCGAAAGTCTGGAAAAATGGATGAAAGTTGGGCTAGCGACCTCTTAACCAGAAACAAATGGAATCCCTAGAAACTAATTCTAACTCAGGAACTGAGTGGTCAACTGTTCCAACTCGTAGTTCGTTACAGAGGCCATGAGTAGGTGCAGTCGAAGAGTCCTGAATCAGAAGAAAATAGCTCTCCCATATTACATGTTGCTTTCCAATGGTTCTCTGACTAATGTTGGTTCTTCAAGAAATCAGCATGGAAACTAAGTAAAATCTCTACAAAATCCAGAAAATTATTTGTTTAATGTGAAGAAATGAAACGTAAGGTAATTACGGGGAATATATATATATATATATATATGTATATAGAACAACACATTTAAGCGAACAATATGGTGCTTTCAATTAGATCTCATCAGGCTTAACTGTAATACGCAGCCATAACTTTTATTTTTATTCATTCACGTTCCCAGTGGAACATAGGGCTTCAACATAGAGCCTTGAAGTTTCTGTAGCAGTGCTCTTCATTTTTACAGGATGGGGTTGCTAGCCTCATGCCCAACCTTCCCTCTTTACTAGCTTTATTTCTGGCTTAGCGAGGTAAAGCAGTGAGTCGGTTGTCGGGGGTCGAACCCCGGACCATGTGAATGATCAGCGAGCGTCCTAACCGCTGTGCCAGCGACGCACTTAGACATAACTTCACAAATAAAAATTGAAATATATAAATCAATAACGGTGATTTGTCTATAGGATAATAAGATTGTGCATATAAATTGTGCAATTAGTAATAATAACAATAAAATTTGTTATTATTATTATGCAGCTGAATTGATAAATGCTCATACATGTGACAACCTATGTTTCACATTCTCTAGCTGACGAATGAATGGGACACAAACGAAGGATAGATAGCTCGATAGTTTTGCCTCATCTATGTGTATTTATCAGTTCAGCTGCACCAGAGGTGACAGTTATGTTGGGCGTACTATTAGACAGCAGCTTAGTCAACGTGTCACTACGGAGCATCTCCTATCTTGGTGGTTTGGCAAAGGACAAACAAAAACAATCCATAGCACCATTTTGTCACATTTAGTTTATAGTGGTCATGGTGACTATTCATCGCATCGCACAATATCTTTCCAGAGGCCTCCGTATCCATCTACTGCACACAGCTGAGGCTATAAGCATTCGAACTATTAAACCTAAACTATACATTCATTCAAAAGAAGTTCATACAGCCATTATCTCTCCCTTGCTGGCCTATTCAGACCTAACACTAACTGATGACTTCTCCACCACCCCTTACTTACTTATATTTTCAACCCTTCCCTCTCTCATCATCCCTTAATCTTATCACATCTTCATTAAAAACGTATTTTATTTACTTCCCTTACAATCTTGCATTACTTAATCGGTTCGTTTGTTTTTACTAGCCTCTATCGACTACTTCCACCTGAACAGTTGTTTGTTTAATCATGCTGTTTTTCATCAGTATTCTTGTTATCACAGATCGCCTCACTTTTTCATCCTTGTGATTGATAGAACCATTATTATTATTATTATCATTACTGCTATTATGACTGATCTTATCTTATAGACAAAACACTGTGATTGATTTATATATTTGAATTCTTATTTGTAAAGTTCTGTCTGCATAATTTTAGAGTTAAGTCTCTTCATAAATAAACTGTTCGTAATGATTTGATTTATTTGCTATGTACATTGAATATATGATATTATTAACTTACATAATATACTGTTTCTTTTTTTATTTTCAGAGATGGCAAGAATTATTCGATCCTCAACAGACAGGTGTGATCACTCTGTCTAAATTTTGTGATGTATTAGGATTGGAAGTAGAAGCTTTGTAAGTGGTGTTCTTTTTGTTAACATCACATATTTCTTTTCTGATGCTAAATAAGACGATAAATTACTTGAATTTCAGATGTTAGGTATCGTTGTGAAAACTAGGGATCACTGGACAGCTCATTCTTTCTGTTTTGGAACTCTTCAATAATGTGTATCCAAGACCGCAGGATTGATCCTACCTTAGGAGCTTCTGGCTGTGAAATCAAGCTCCCTGACTATTCAACCACTTCGTCAGGAATTCAGTGACTCGTGATGTAGTACTACATTCACGAATAATACCTTCGATGAGCATCCTCTTTACCTTGATATGAGGAACCCCACTGGTTACGACTAGTCATCACAGTTTCAGTACATCGATTCAGTAGCTGTCAGTCAGTCACCTGGAGATTAATGTAAAGTTTCTGAGATTCATGGGGATTCGGATTAATTGAATTCCGATTATCAAGTGTTTTTTGCAGGGTTTGTCTAGTCACTCCGATTTTATCATGAGTTTACAGTCAGTTAGTTAGACATGTAACGACAGAAGATAAGGGTAAGGCAACAAATCGTTTATTGAGAAAATCAGATATTTATAAATTTTATGTACATTATTATTCGTTATTATTAGCAGAGTGGTAGCGTCTTCTGATTGGTTGTTTTCCTGCTGAAGGTTATTCTGTCATCTCTTTATGGCCGTTTATTAGACAGTCCGTTGATATATATATATATATGCTAATCGTATCCTCCCACGCTAAGTCTGCTGTGATTAGTTGTTGATTTCCCCAAGGTTAGACTTTCTTCTTGTTTTTTCTCATGACCCCGATTTGGGACATAAACACAGATGTAAATTTGTGTCTACCAATTTTGGCTAGCAGACAGCTCTCACCACAGACAACCATTGGAAAACTAGAAATTACTGGACTTCTCTTTCGTCCTAGTCCCTCACTTGGGCATCCATCAAGGTTTAGATCGGTTCGTGACAAAATCTAACAGTTGGAATTTAACTAATCGCAATTCCCATAAATCCCATGATGAATTATTCACCCAGTAAAAATACACAGCAGAGGCTGTGACTCATTGATGTGGGCTGTCACGTTGTAACCACTGTATTACTGAGTTTGTATGCAGTTTCACCCGGTGGTATCAATATCTCTAAGACAATAAGTGTGGCTCATTGTTGGCTGTAAGAAAATGCAAAAGGGCTCATTGATGAGCAACACATTTAGCTAATTCCAACCCAAAAGCCAATATGCAAATTTATAAGTAGTCATTTCATGTATCGTTTGTATGCAGCTGGATGATAATCCTGTCGCTCTATACAACTGAATGATCGATTGATAAATATGGGTAATTCCATCATCATTTACAAAAACTAGTGTCTAAGCACAGAACGGCTGTTTTGCTTCTTCGATGTAGAGGCTTTCAGCACTGTATCCGGTTTGACTCAACGATCGGAGAGCTGAATCAATTCAAATGTGACTAGCTAGCACAAGTGGTTGATATCAGTGGTATCTTACTACTCATTTCAATCAATCAATCAATAAATCAGTAGTATATAGCGAATTTCATAATTTTGGATGATTAGACTGTGTAGTGCTTATTGAAAGTGTCAGTCAGTAGAATTTTCTGCTTTATTCATCCATGTTAGTAGTACTGGAACAGTAGAAGGCAAGACACGGAAGCTGTGGTTTATTTTCAAGTGATCAAACCGCTGTTTATATTGCCAAGTATTGGTTGTTTTGTAGGCATTTGGTTTGATTGATTGGTAGGAGGATTTCATCATGAGCTGACATCAGTTAAAAAACTATTGGAAAACCACCACCAAGGAGTACAGGACAGCCAGTTGTTCCATCCGTCGCAGTTTGGGACTCTTCAGCAGTACGCATCCACCACCATGGCTAGAACCCAGAACCTTCTAGTTGCAAGGCCAGCGAGCTGGTAGACCACTCATCAGACACTGGGACCCGCCAATCCAATGACCAGGCCATGAATTTTAACTTCTGTCAATTGATAACAGCACAACCATTTCGCAATATCTTCTTCGATGAGTTACTGCCTCATCTTAAACCCGTTGTACCCTACTGGTTACGGCTTCCCAGTTCAGTACTCCCAGCTGGTTTTCCAGTGGTTCTCTAACTGTTGTCAGCTCAAGATGAAATTCTCCATCCAATCGAACAAAATTCCTACATAACCAATACTTGAAAATTAATCTGATGTTCACTAGCGACTAGCCCTATTCAGACAAGTAGTGACCTAGGGTTCTAGAGGGAAGCTGTGACCAGTAGACTACAGCAGGTTGAAGGTGAGAACAGTTACTCATAGAAGAAGACATTGTGAAGTGGTTGCGCTATTTGTCATGAATCAGCAGAAGTTAGAATTCATGGGCTGGCCATTGGATTGGCGGTTCCCAGTGGCTTAATGGTCTACGAGCTTGCTCACCTTGTAACCAGAAGGTCCTGGGTTCTAGCTGTGGCGGTGAATGCGAACTGATAAAGAATCCCAAACTAGGACGAAACAGCTTTCTAGCGCTCCCAGTTATTTATATCCATACAGTTTATATTCATTAACTAGTCACTGAGTGTGTGATTTTAGTTTACATTAAACGACATGGAATAGAATGTTCAAATATGCATTTATAGTATTCTGTTGCTAATGCAGTATTCAACCGTGGGATTATGTGAGAGTAATTTTGCGTTGGAACACTTTGTTGCCTGTATCACACCACCACAGTAGTAGTAGCTTGTTAAATTGTCTCTTTTTCGCCTAATTTTATTCTGGTTTCTCTTTCTATCTTAAGCAACTTTGAACTGACTTTATGAAAAATGCTTTAGTGATTCCTGCTTAAAAATCTTTTTCAGTTTTCGGTTATTTGTCTGAGGTCATTCCCTCCCACCCCCATCTTAATTAGTAAAACAATAAGCTTTGGATTCTTACTTTTTGTTGTCGTCGGCTTTCTAAAGTGAGTAAGAACCCACTTTCAACTGTTGCGCTGTGGGAATTCGATATTTCGTCACCAGCTGGTGTCAGTTTGTGAGTCGTGAGCCATGAACACACCTTCGAGATTGAATCCAAAACCATTTTGGGTTATACGGAGAACTCGTTAACCATTCAACCATCGAGTTTTCCTTCCACGACACCGGAACTGTAACTCCTAAGAGCTCATACTGTCCTCTACTCCCTGATATCTTTTCGTGGTGACACTCACCTTCCCACCTTCATCTGCCTGATTCATATTCGACCGAAACTTTCAGTCTCTGTTGAAATGTTGGCTTCTAGTAGTACGGTTGTGATTCGATGGTGTCTAAAGACGGCGACAGAAACCATGGGTATTGCGTTCGAGACTCAGTAGAAATACCGTCGCTCTCGCTCTCTCTCGGGTTTGCAAGTACATGCAGTGCTAACGAGTCCCAAATAAGACGAAATACGCTCCCTGAATTCCCTTGCTGTTAGCCAACACTGCCTGAAATAACTGTTGTATTCCATTGTCCTTGTTTGGTAATTAGAAATTACATTAACGTTGAGTCATTCCATCATATGCAAAATGAAATTTAATACACACAATCTTGTGTCTTGCTGTTGTTGGTCATAGTATCTACTTAGTCCTATTTTTCGGATAGAATAACAAACACACAGAGAAATACGTCAAAGAAAACGATCGTGTTTTCTTTTGTTTTCATTTCTAATTCACATATATTTCATTTCTTCAAATAACAACAGCAAAAAAAATTATCTTTTCCAAATTTTCAGTCAGTAAAAAAAAATAAAATAAAACTAACACTCCAAACAAATCGATTTATATAATTGGTGGATGGTGACTAGCAGCTGAATCCAGGATGCGCATTTCGTCCCATTTAGGGCTCGTCATCCTGGATGTACCTGCATTTCTCAGTGAGTGATGATGTTCCCACCGAAGGTCGAACCCAGTGCCCATAGTTTCCAACGCCAAAGCGTTACCTATCACACCACTTGGGCCACGAGAGCCACCTCTTGTGCAACGGGTCATATTGATTTAATTGAATTTTAGATTTTCCCATCGATTGATTGGACCGAAGTGCTCGGTCTCAGGTTGACATGTCGGCTTCTTGAGCAGATGCTTTGACGATGTCTGGGCATTTAATTAGTATTTAACTGGTGGATGGTGACTAGCAGTGGAATCCAGGATGCGCATTTCGTCTTATTTTGGACTCGACAGCCGGTTGTACCTGGGTTCCACTGCTAGTCACCATTCACCAATTAAATACTAATTAAATGCCCAGATATCGTCGAAGGATCTGTTCAAGAAGCCGACTTGTCAACCTGAGACCGAGCACTTCAGTCCAATCAATCGACGGGAAAATCTTAAATTCAATTAAATCGAATTATACTTTGGTTTGGACATTAGTTAACTGGTGTCGTGTGTGTGTGCAGGTGTCTGGTCCTTTGTTTCTTGTAGACTAAAGCCTATCATACATATTAATTCTCCTGTATGAATATGAATAAAGCAAGAACAACAGGGTGGTTTGTGCAGAATATTTGATAGTACCGTCATTTTGTTGATTTCGTCCGGTCGTTGGCTTCTCATCATCTGCTCACAGTCTAAAGTATATGTACAGAAACAATTTTGAGCAAAGCAAGAACTAAAGTTTTAGCAGAATAAAATGGTACCATCATTATTTATTTCGTTGCCTCCTCGTCAGCTGCTTACAGGCCAAAGACATTATTAAATATATCTACAAAAACAATTTTAACATACTTGCACAGAGTTCATTTTAAACAAAAATCAATCGATCAATATATGCATACACTAATAATATATACATATATATGTATTTGCAACATTAAACACTATTCCGAACAACAATAATAATTAAACACAATGAAAACTTTCCAGCATCTCGCATTCGGATAAAAAATCTGCAGTTACCAGGGCGAAGAAAGACTGATAACCGCTTCTTTCTGAATGCATAAATCAGGTTTCAGGCGCTTGATGGAAATGGCTTCAGCAAACTTAAGGAGAAGTGAGCTCTTTTGCCTATTGAT